ATAGAGTCGCATTAGAAAGTGATTTTAAATCTACTCGAATGACATCAGATTGCCAGGAGGGAGAAAGGCGGTTTTTTTTGTTTTAACGCTCTCTTTCAGGTGTGAAAATTCAACCCAGTGAAAACATTTTAGGAGGAAAAAAAGTCAACGTATAAAGATCATTTTATTTTTCCAAACTTTGATTAAAACAGAAAATGGTGCTACGCTTCAACACTAAGACTTTCAATAAAATGGGTGGTCAAGAAAAGCATACCCTTCTTCGTGACAACTGAGAATTTTAATGGGAAAAAATGCTGCAAGCTATAAATAGGTACATCCAAAACATATTTAAACCACTTGAGCAGTTGGTTTTTTTCCATGTCCTTTGCATCTACATTGAAACAGACCACAGGAAATTTCAGACCGATGGCTGAATCTAGGAGAAAAAAAAAAAATCCATTTAGTTGTGATGACCAGCGTGGCTCTCGATCCCTAATGTTTACACTTCCCTGACTGCACTTAACTTTGCTGTGCTCGGAAGAAGACACACCACTAATCAATTATGTACACTAATTAAAAACGCTACCTTTAGGAGGCATTTTAATAACTTAGTGACAGGGCTGAGGGTTCCTCTGCTCACTTTCAAACATCGTCGATAACATATTAGCCTGGATGCACTGGGCCCTGCAAACACTTAATGCCAATCAGCTATCAAATTGCCCCCCAAAGTGGTGGCACAATTCTGTACTTGGTTGAGGGTCACGTGGAAAATAGAATTATATGCTAATTTGTTCCCATATTAAGTTATCATACGAGGTCAGACCAAGCACAGTGAAATGAATCCTAAGGAAAAAAAAAAAAAAAACTTAAGTAGATTGGTAATGTGCCACGTCAGAGGCAACTGTTTATCTTGATAGATAAAAATACAGAAAAGATGTTTAAAACGGGTGCGTTTTCTCCTTTTCACAAAACAAATATTTTAGCCAATGTCTGCTTAATTTATTCCTACAGAAGAACAAGCGCGGACTATTTTTTTCCAAGGGGAATTTTTTTCAATAGGGAATAGTATCCAAAAGAGAATAACTTCCCCAGGAAAAAAGTTCGACATCTGCATATTTATTAAATTTAATTCACACAAATGCTCTACACGTGGCTGCACAGTGAGCACACCAGGCCTGCAAGCTAAACCAGGTCAAGAGGGGCTGACTCTCAATCAGCTATTGTTTTCCTCCAAAATAAACTAAATAACAATGTTGATGTTTTTCTTAGCACCCAGTTGTCTGAAGAAAAAAACGTTTTATTTAAAAAAACACTGGGGAGGAAAATATCTATATCCAATTTTTTTTTTTTTCCTGGAAGGCATAACCAGTTCTATGGATATCACAGTCATGAAAAAAACCAAATCAGTGTTGAAGAATTCAGATCACCAATTTCATAGGATTCCTCCTATTTACTTCAAAGATCCTTTTCTAGAAAAAGGACAGGAATTAAGGGGTGGGGTGATGGAGATATGAACCACGGGGGCCAGGTTCCTATCAAGCATTGGGCTTACCGCAGGACACAACTAAGACGAGTGACAGAGGCCATCCGTCACGCCCTTAGGCAAATTGCTGTGAGATAATTTTTGTTCTGCGGCCTATCCTTTTTGCCATGAAAAGATAGGTTGATATTTTTTCATTCTCCTGCAACATTTCCGATGCTACGCAAGAGAATGAGCGCTCACACCTGAATTTCCTTTAATCACAACTGATTTTTAATTCCCAAAGGGATTTTATGTGGTGCTTTTAATAAGATTTTATTACTATTAGTTATCAGAAAATAGGCCAGGCTCCCAAGAAATATCAGTTTGACGTCTTGATCAAATACTTTGATTCTTCTGCTTTATGACGCTGGCTTTGTTTACCCAGTTTCCTCCTTGTCAAGTTAGATACGGAGACACTTGGTCGGGCATAAAATCTTCAGGCTCTTTCATAGACTATAAAATAGAGCCACATACTTCTCCACTACCGTTCTCGTCAAAGGACCTAACACATTAGGATCTGAATCCATAAACGGTTGAGAATTGTATTTAAAAACTGAGGAAAATCTGACAAAAATGAAAACACGCACTGATGCCTAAAATATCCCGACTTAAGTGAATTAATCTTCATTCCCACTGAAAGCAACGTGATGTCCAGGGACCGGGAATTATTCTACCATAAAATACGGCGCATTAAATGCTACGATGACCCATTTGAAATGTCTTAAGATAATTATGATGTCATCTACAAATGATTGTACATCTGATAATATTCTAATATTCGTTATCAGAGGTTCTAATGCAAACTAGGTTGAAATGGCAAAAATATTATTTGGGTGAAGATAACACGAAGCACATCAGTAGCAATTCAGTGAATTATTCCACCCTAAAAGTAAGACTCAAAATGAGATTTGAGAAAGAATCGATAAAAGCCAGGGCGAAATATTTGGACCCTCGTTATCACAAAAAAGCACTATCATTCTTGATGGTTTGCATATAAAACTCCTTATCTCTACCAGCAAGTTGAAAAGAATGCAAAGCTCCTTGCAACCAGTGAAAAAGCAAGTCTTTACCATGCGCCTTGGAAAAGCTCATTTTCACATTACTCAGGCTTCATTATGCTAAATCAATATTCGTTTAGTCACTGGGGTTATTGACATATTTTAAAATAAAAGTATACCCTTCAGCTACTGCACTCATTACAGGTAATTTGTCTTGTCAGAGAGCAGGGAATATTATCCTAGTCTTTCAGGGCTGACAGCCATGGAAATACCTCCCCATGGTTACAACTGTAAATAATTTTAAGGTAAAATATTGAAAAATCAATGACTGTTTCCTGCAATCTGTCACAAACAAATCAATCATAATCTGTACTGCCAGAGAGTATGATTTGAAGGAGATGGGAGCAGATGTAATTCTTGGCTGGAATCTCTCATTTCAAAATCACTTCACATAATGGTGTCATCATTTAAACACTTAACAGTCAGTGCAACTGCCACGGTAACATCCAGTTGGACAAAACCACAAGGAGGAGGAGGAGAAAATGCCATCACTATTATGTTAACAAACATTTAATTTAAATGGTTGCTACATTAGTAAATTCCAGCTGAAAACAGTTTTACCTGCCCCCTTTCACGGTCCTGAATTAATCAAGACGGCGTTCCTATGCACCAGCACTTAATAAATTAGGCCGGGATTCAAAATTTTACCCTCGAAGGAAAGCATGCATCTTTTATTTTATATTTTTAAATTTAGTTTTACACTCGCAGAGTGTAATGAAATTTGGAACTAACAAATAAGACGTTTGGATTAGAGAATATCCATAACTCTACCTTTATAACAAAGACAAAATGCAGTCCCTGATGTCAAGAGCATACACTTACAGTAGATTTAAAGGTCACGGTTGCCCAGATATTAAATTTTATATTTCCCTTCTATTAATAAATATTACATTTCAACTTTGTAATACTGTAGCCTATTTTAAGATGACCACCAAGACCCAGTCAATTCGAAACACCCATGCGTTCCCCCTACAAGTTACACCATCGACTGATATCTTAAAAGTAGGAGTAATGACCTAAATATATGAAGTGTAAAAGCTGGTCAAGGACAGGATACTGAATTGCTTTGCAAATGTAAACTGCCTGCCAAGTAATCACTTTGATATCAACCCTTCTCTCCAAGCTACATGTTAATGACTTCCTCAACTGCTTACAACCTCTACCTAGGCATGAATACAAAAAAAAAATCTGAGATTGAGATATTTCCCTTGCCTGTTATGTTAACCAAAAACATCATTTGATTTCAAGATTAAAGAGTCTTTTTTTTCCTGAAGGATTTTTTTTGTTGTTTTTTTTTTTTAAATGCACACTCGCTCTTTTCAGGGAAGAAACTGATGGTAGCTACCACACTGCTCACCAATTTCCTCATACGATTAGGTTATCACAGGCCTTGTATTGTTCTATTAATATCCCTCCATAGGTATAGGTCAGGGAGGAGACATTTTTGCTGACAAGAAAAGTATACCACTTTTCTCAAATAGAAAAACAAAAACCTAGAACTTCCACTGCCCAGTGTAAGCCCAGATAAGCATGGTCATTCTTTTCTACAGGGCTATTTCTCTGCATTCCATGTGGCAACACATATGAACAGACAGAAGCTTTTCCTACTGATCCAAAATTGAGTATCATTTTTGTTCTTCAAGAATCTTAGGATCATTCTTTAACATAAATAACCAACATGACGTTTTTGAAAATGCATTGAAAATGCACACGCACGCGGGTCAATCATCAAAGACATCATCCCAAATAAAACACAGGCCTCCATTTCATGGGAACCCCTGCAACAGCTGCACAGTGAGCAGCAAGCCAACCTAGCGAGAGGAAGAGGAAAGTATTACCCCTAGCCTGGGTGACGCAGAGGATGGGAAGGGCCTCGAGAATCAGTGACCGAGGCAAAGAAGCCCTCCCTGCGGGCCCCTGGTGCCCCTGCACAACCTGGTGCAGCCCAGGTAGGGCCCAGCTCCCGCCTCGGCAGGCCTCTGGAAGCAGTTGTCAACCACCAAGCCTCCCACCCAGAGTGTGGCCAGGCTGGCACTGAGTGGCCCTGCAGGGCGAGCATTCCCCCAGAGAAGGCAACAAAGAACCCGAGGCAAATGAGGACAGCGAAGCAGCACTCCCCACGCACGTTCACCTGCCACAACCTAACATGACATTTAGTAGAACTGGGTAGGCCACCGTCACAGACCCGATTCTCAGAAAGAACTTCCTTTCAGGGCACTGGGGCTGCCTGCAAGAGATGTCTCAGCTCTCCCAAGACAACCCACAGTCCTAGCAGAAGGAGCTGGAAGACTTGGCACAGGAAAATCAGATTGTTCCCATACCACCCCCCCCCCACCCCACCCCCATTTAAAAGAAATTGCTGTCTACTAGATAAAGCTGTTATATGTAAAAAAGCCTCGGGATGAGAGAAGAAAGTATTCTTTGAAAAGAGATAATATTACCTCTCTCTCTTCAGAATCTCCTCCTTCCAACAGCCAGTACAGTAGCTCCATTATGAAGGGCACGTTCTTAAAAAGAAAAATAGCAATAGTTAGCTTCGGTTCCTGCCACTTCCGCCCTGCGTGGAATTACAATTTAATTACCAATAATTCAATTGATTTTTAGTTCTGAATGCTACCACCCTCCAAAAGCACAGTTTAGCTACTTCCACTAGAGAACAGTCAGTACAGCCTTCTCAGTTCATCAGCCATCAGCCACCACAGTTGAAAGGACATGTTTGCTTCCTATTTTCAAAAGACTGAGGAACTGCCCCCCACCCACCCCACCACATACACCTATTTCAGCTATTTAGAATTCTACTAACAAACATGAAATATGACTTTAATAATCAATCGTGTCTGACAGGAAATATAAACCTCAACCAACAGGCACATAGGTTTAGATTTCTCCTATATTTTTCCTTAGGAGAAAATAGCGAAACCAATCCTCTTGTCTTTTAAATTCGACAACTTTACATGTGTTAAAAAAAAAAAACAAAAAAACGACTAAGCTTAAAACAAACAAAGAGGAGTCAAATTGCTTAACATTTTCGTTATCACTGTGTTGTTTATTTTCTAACAATACGGTGCTTTTGGTCAGACATGGAATCCCATCTCCATAAGACCCAATCAGTCACAGGGAAACACAATAATTTAAAAACAAGTATATATTATTTCCTATGGCAGCAAAAATCACTTCAATGCCTTGGGGCAAGCATTCATGGAGAATATTGTTGGAGGATGAACTGACGAAAGAGGCCTTCTACAAAATTAGCTTATTTTTTTGGTCATCCAACCCATTTCTTACTTAGCGAAATATTCCCCATCACTAAATCTCATCCCTGTCTCTGCCCACTCTGCAATACAAGTATTCTGCAAAATAATTTTTTTTCCCATAGCTTTTCTCATCTGCTGGCAAGCAGTTTACACACACCTTTGCCAGCCCTTTGTCATCATCACAAGAGTTTGGTATCCATGACTGGAGCTGGTACTCCCAGTAAATTTATTCTTCAAAGAACGAAGTAATTAACAAATCAAAAAAATCTAATTTGGTATAAACAGATTATTTCCTCTAAATAGTTATTTTGTTCCTATAAAATATCAAAACCTTAGTCTTGGTTTGTAGGAAAAGCCCTGAATTTTTAAATTGCGCTCTCCAATGAGATCATTAAAAATTAAAAAAACACGACTCAGTGCATTTTGATGAATCAAAATATTTTCTGTCTACTGAAGCTTTGTTTCATCTACTGGTAAAATTTTAATAATCAAAGGCCTCAAGTGACAGTCTCTTCATTCTGTACTGAGTCCCTTATTGCCAGTATAAACTGGCAAAATCAACACTGAGGATGCTATTTTGGGCTTAAAATACACACAGACACGCCCCCCCCCCACACACACACACTCACACACACTGGGGACACTCACTTGTAGGTGAGCGTGGATGATGCGCAAGGACAAATTTCAGCCAACATTTGAAGAAACCCCATACTTCAGAAGTGAACTTAGCTGAAAACATCCGAATGTATTATGGAAGAAGCATCATACTTATCACCTGCATGGAAAATGGAAACGACTCTGTTTAAGGAAACACAGAAGACTAGTTAAATACTTTGGGGATATTAGATATGACTATCTAATCTCATTTTCTCCAAGGTATCACTCCGCATTATGGCAAATAAACAAATAAGGGCTGTATCAAGACGTGGAATATCATTAGCCTAAGAAAAGGCTAGAAAAATGGATTACGTCAATGACAACTGCAAGAGAAAATTATATTCCTTTCTCCTGAACAAATGTTACGTGCATCCTTACTAATAAAGACTTAAACTCTAACTACATTACAATATACTGGTTTTCAATTTTGAAGCATCTAAGTTAATTTGCCAAGCTAAATTGGTGCTTAGATACACTCTCGCTATAAAAACACTACAGATTTATGAGAAATAAGGCATAAGCATCACACTTCAGAGTGGGGCTGTAAAAGCAAGCCACAGTCATGAGTGAACAAGAAAAAAAAATAATGCCAAGATTTTACATCTTCTTCAAGTTCGATCCGCTGCTGTTCTACCAAGAACAATTAGCCTCTACAAAACAGCCAACCATCATACTAAAAAGATGTTAAAAATCCAGGAGCCAACACAACGTAGAAATTGCAGGGAAATGTACGAAGACAGGGAGAAATTACAAAGAGGGCTGTCCTGTTCCCAGAGTTCAAACATTATCTCACGATAGGACAGTATTTGCAGTCTCTGTTTTAAAGAATGTGTTTAATTCACTCAGGATTATGTGATTTCGTTTACACGCATGCTATCAAAGGAAGAAGGCTCAGATTCTTCCTAAGATTTCTATAACGTAAAAATATATTCATTATTATCTGTTGTTATTCATCAAAATGAATAAGTAATAAGCTCATATTCCTATTTCATTTCTTTTAACGTTGCATATTAGATTTGAAAATAAGACATGAATAATAGTGCAGGGATGCTGATCTTAGCTGCCAGAAAAAAAAAAAAATTTGGTGGTGGTGGGGGTTGGGGGATAAGTAAAGCAATTATCTCAAAATTAATGCTCTTGTTTTAGTTTCAGCAAACAAATCTAAATAAGTCTTTCTTTGATTTTAGTTTACCATGTAATTCTAGCCGGCTAATTATCCTCCTCAGCGTCACCAGTGAGCTGGGCTCTACACCTGGCTTCTCCGATCATATGCTTATGGTCTCTTCCACTTTCATTTCCTCCTCTACGATGAATTTTAATATTAAAGAAAAACACTCACACATCTTACATGCACACTGATGGACAGCCAGCTTCCAGGAAATCATGAGCTACAAAGGGGGGTGGGGGGGGCGGGTGGTGAATCTTAATGCAATACTTATGTTAAAGGGTATTAGGTGCTGGGTAAGCCAAGGGTAATAAAATCAACAGCATCCGTCTTACTATTGTTTTTGCATCCAGAGATTTGAAATAAAAGGGCTGGAATCCTGTTTTCGTCAGCGCCACCCAGGTGACGATTCAGATTCTTAAACTAATAAGGGGCTAAATGTACTCTCAGCCCGTGTTCCCCGATTCAAATTCACAGAGCAATATTTTGGAAGAAATAAAACCGGTTTTCTTCTATTTCTGGAAATAAAAACAAAAACAAAAACAAAAAACGAGCCATTCCATAAACAACACAGCCCAGTCCTTGGCGATATGAGGAAAAGAAGTTAGTTCAGCTGTTAAAGCCTTCAGGAGACTTTTCCAGAAAATGAGGTGGAATAAATTTTCTCAGCTATTTACCCCTTTGTTAGATGCCTTATTTCTGCACCTTAAACATGCCTTCTTCCTCTCCAGGTTTATTCTGAAGGCCAATAATCCTCTGCTTAATAATAACGGAGGGAGGGCTCTACCTATGCTTTTCTCTCTAAATTAGCAACCCTGACTTCACAAAGAGAAGCACAAAGCAAGCCCACAAAGCTCTGCCAAAAAGCCACAAGTAGTTTCAGCACATGCCAGAACATTTAACATTAAACTATCATTTCTCTCTCAAACTTCTGTTGCCAAAGCGCTCGCAAAATCTGGAAGCTCCAGGACAGGTTTCAAGTGCAATTAAATTCTCCAAAAGCAAAACTGTACCCAAAAAAAAAAAAAAAAAAAAAAAAATAGGCCGCCCATCTTATGTCACCATTTTATAGACAACATTTTCTCAGGATCTTAATTAAGATAACGATGCACACCTGTGTCAACATTCTCTGGCAAGACAGCCTTATCAATCATAATCCTTTAAGTACACTCCAAAACAGCAAAGCGATATGACAGAAGCAATCTGTTGCCTTTCCTGGGGTCGGGGTGCTGTGTCTCTCCCCCAAGAAGGATGAGATCTTGAAAGCACAGCAGAGCTCACTTTTATGAGTCTTTCAAGTTTCCACTGTAAACAGTTATTACCCTAAATCAACAGGAATAACCTCTTTTGCACTCGATTTAAACAAGGACAACCGTGCGGCCCAAAAAACCCCAAACTCGAAGAGCCAGCTTGGCGGCCACGGCCCAGCAGGACCACCGTGGGTCTGGACTTTAAAGCTCCAAATTTGAAGACTTGGGCATCACTGGAGCCACCACCAGCCACTCAAGGAGGCTTAGGGAGTTTTAAAAATTCGAGTATCTTTAGGTCCTGGCTAAAAAGGATCGGGGCATGCCTATCCCTGGGGTTAGTTGAAAAGGTTCGGCAGGATAGCAAATGCAACAGAATGCCCCCCCCTATTGCACCCCCCCAAAAAAGACCCCCCTGGTAACCTGGAACAGGAGGGAGACGCCTCGGTGACAGGAGCCCAGGGCAGCGCCGCTCGCGACTGAGCAGGCTCCGAGCCGGAGAGCGGGTGCACAGGGGGGCGGGGAGGCGATGGGCCCCCCCACTTCGCGGATAAAAAGTGCAAAACCCCGTGTTGACCAGCGACAGCGCGAAAGGCCTCCCAGGAAAAGGGGGCGCCCCCTCCCGAGGCGCCCTGCACCCCGCGCCGCAGCGGAGGCCCCGCGCGAAAACAGCAGAAAATAGAGACGTCCTCGGGCAGTGCGCCCGAAACTGGACGGAGAGCGGGGGTGACAGCCCGGCCAGGGCGCCCCAAATTCTAAAAGCTTCTGCTCTCAACTCTCTCCATCCCTGACACCCGCAGAAGCCGGCAGGGGAGGTGGGGGGCGCGCGTCAGGGGGGCCCGGAGCGGCGGGGTGCTGCATGGGGACGTCTGTGTGACAGTCAGACTCTCGGGGCGCAGTCCTCCGCGGCTCCCCTTTGGGGGTGCGCGTCCCGGGCGAGGGGCCACGCCCACGCGCGCCCACCCGGGCCGCGGCCGGAGCCCCCCACTCACGCGCTCCTGTCCGGCGGGCGCGGTCCTCCGGGGTTCGCCGCGTCCGTCCGGCGCGCGGGGTTCGGGGGGGCCGGGGGCGCCTCCCCGCTGCAGGCGGCGCCGGCGCGCGGGCCGCGGACGCTCCCTCGTGGCCGGAGCGAGCCCGGAGGGCGGCGCGCGGCCGCTCCCGACCGTTAGCGCGAGGGCCGCGGCCGCGGCGACGGGCGGAGCCGGGGGCGGCGCTGGGGAGCCCGGGGCCCGCGAGAGGCGGGACGCGGGGCGCGGGGCGGGGACGCTCCGGGGCTCCCCGCGTCGGGCCGGGCCTAGGCCGCACCCCAGGGCGCCGCCCCTCCGCCGCCCGGGAGGCCGCCCCCGGCGGGCTCCGCGCTCCCTCGCGCCGGGGCCGCCCCGCAGCCCGCCTCGCCCGGTGCCCGCCGCCCCGCAGCCACCGCGGCCCGGCTGCGGCCGCCCCGGCCGCCGGCTTCCCGTCTCCATGACAATAGCGGCGACGCCCCGCCCCGCCCCGCCCCGCCCCGCCCCCGGGCGCGCCGACTCGGAGGAAGCCGGCGCTCGCGGCCGGTGGGCGGAGCCAGCCGCGGCCGGCGTCCAATCAGCGGCGAAGGGCACGGCTGGGCGGGGCCGAGGGGGCGCGGGGCGGGGCCGCCTGGGGGCGGGGCCGGGGCGCCGACGGGGCGGAGTCGGCGCGCGTGCGCGAATCGCGCGGCCAGGGGGTGCGGGGGTGCGGGCGCGCGGGGGTGCGGGGGTGCGGGCGCGGGGGTGGGGGGGGTGAGGGTGCCCGGGCTGGGGCTCGCGAGGAAAGTGCATCTGGCGCGTCCCAGGCCGGGGGAGAAACTTTGCGCGCAGTCTTCCTTCGCCCTGCGCGCGGCCCCACCGTAGCGCCCCGCCGGGGTGCCCGGCCCCGCGCCCGCCCCGTCCGGTGTCCCCGCGCCCCCGGGTGTCCGGGCCGGTGCGCCTCGGGTCTGGGGCGGCGCGGGGGGCAGGGGCGGCGGGGGGGCTGTCTTGAACCCTAAGTGCGTGGCCTTCGAGGTCGCGGGCTCTGCGCGCCTTGGGGTGTCTCCTGGGCAGGGGCCGGGCCGGGCGCTGCGCCGCGGGGCGCGCAGAGGGGCGCGGGGAGGGGCCCCCCGCACGCACACGCCGGCCTGGCGGGGCGACCTGCCCGGGGGAGCCGAGCAAGAGGCCCCGCGGCGGGGCGCGGTGGGGCGCGGCCAGGGGCGCCCGGACACCGACCCGGGGCAGCGCCCTCCCGCGCGGAGAAGCGCCCCGAGCAGCCCGGCCCGGCGTCTCCTCCTCGCCGTCGGCGGGGCCTGGGGGAGCAGGGCCGGCCCCGACGGGCGCGGACGCCCGAGGCCCGGCTCTCGCCCACCTGCTGCCGCCGCGGGCGCGGGGCGCAGCCCCCCCGGCTCCGGGCGCCCCGCGCGCGGCGTCCGTCGGCTCTCCGGGACCTGCGCTCGCGGCGTCCTCCGCTCGTCCCCGAGCCCCCCGACCGGCGGGAGAGGCCCGAGCCGAGCGGGCGCCCCCGCCTCGGAGCCCGGGTTCCCGCGAGCGCGGAGCCCGCCAGCCCCGGGCGCCGCGCGCGGCCTTTGTGCGGCGAGCGCCCCGCGGCGCCCCGGCGGCCGGGCAGCGGGCGAGGCGGGGGCGCGGGCCGCGGCCGCCCTCCCGGGCCGGCGCTCGCGAGTCTGAGGGCGAGAGGAAGCCAGGCCGGCGCGCGGGGGGGCCGGGGGGCCGGGGGGCGGGCGCGGGGGGCGGGCGCGGGGGAGGGGCGAGGCGCGCCGGCGAGCGCGAGAGGGAGCCGGGGCGGGCGCGGGCGAGGGCGAGGCGCGCCTGGCGGCCGGGTTGGCTGCGGCCGCCCAGAGGCTCCTGCCAGTCCTCCCCCTGACTACACCCCGCGAAGGAGGAGCTTCGGGCGCGCACAAGGCGTCAGAATCCTCAATTTCCAACTTAGCATCTTGGCAGGACCTTGGCGAAGCCAAAAGCGGAGCCCCCCGGTGCCAGGAGCGCGGGGGAAGCGCGCGCGGCGCGGGCGGGGCGGACACCGGCCGGGGCGAGCGCGGCGCGCAGAGGCTCGGGCGCGGCGGTGGCGGCCGGAGGCGCGCGGGCGGCCGGCGAGGAGGCGCCGCGGGCCGGAGCCCGGGAGCCGGGGCCCGAGGAGCGGCGGCCGGGGCGGCCCGAGGCCAGGTGCCCGCCCGCGCGGGGCGCCGCCCGGCTCGTTGGCGGCCGCGGCGCGGGGCGCCCCATGCCCGTGCGTGGCCATGTCCTACCCGCAGGGCTACTTGTACCAGCCGTCCGCCTCGCTGGCGCTCTACTCGTGCCCGGCGTACAGCACCAGCGTCCTCTCGGGCCCCCGCACGGATGAGCTCGGCCGCTCGTCGTCGGGCTCCGCGTTCTCGCCCTACGCCGGCTCCACCGCCTTCACGGCGCCCTCGCCGGGCTACAGCTCGCACCTCCAGTACGGCGCCGACCCCGCGGCGGCCGCGGCGGCCGCCTTCTCCTCGTACGTGGTGAGTGAGCCGAGCCCGGGGCGGCGGGGGCGCGGGGCCCGGCGCCGCTGACCGCTGGCCGCCCGCGCCGAGCCCCGCGGCCCCGGCGGAGTCGGGCGGCCGCCGCGCCAGGCTGCGCCCCGGCCCGGGGCGGGGGGTGTCGGTGGCGGGGAGCGGAGCCGCGCCCGCTGCCCAGGATCGCCGCGCCCCGGCCGGCCGAGAGGGGCTTGGGGGCGAGGTCGCCGGCGCGGAGGCGCAGCGCTGGGTCCCGGCGCGAGCGCCAGGCCGCCCCGCGCGCTCTGCTTTATTGTTTTCAAGCTGGGTTTGCTCGTTTGGAGAAGTCGCCCCCAAGACGGGGACCTGAAACCCGAGGGAAGGGGGCTAAGTCCAGGGGACGTGTGCGTCCTCGCCTCTAGTTGGCCCTCCAAAATGTGGCAAACCCGAAATCCTGTCTTGGCGCTCCGATCTGGCCGCATTAAATTTCCGAAAAGTCGGTGGAGCTGCGGTGCACCCGGGATTTCTCGGCCGGGCGTGCTTTCTGGGGACGCGCCGCGGCTGGGCTTGGAGAGGGCTCTTGGGAGGGCCGGGGGCGCTGGGGCAGGGGTCGGCTTTTGGTGTGCGTTTCTCTGGGGGGAAAAATGCCCCGAGCTCCCCCCCGATCTAACGTGCGGCCGCCCCAGCGCCGAGTCGCCGCCTCTGCCCAGGGCCTAGGCGCGGGGGCCGGAGCTGCGGGCGCGGGGCGGACGTGCCCGGGCCCACGAGGGCCTGCAGGGGGGCGCCCAGGCCGGGGAGGCTTCGGGGAGCCCCGGAGGACCGCACTCGGGAGTGGGCGACCCCGCTGCTGCCGTCTGAGAAGGGGCTGAGGCCTCTGCCCTCGGGGCTGCGCCGGCGGCGGCGCTACCCCAGGGGCAGGGGCAGCTCAGGCCTCGCCGCCTGCAGACCCCGGGGGGGGGGGGGGGGGTGGGGGGGGGCTCCGGCAAAGTGGGGTTCGGTGGCCCAAGTAGCAGCGCGCACCGCAACCCAGGCTCACCTCCTCTCTGCCTGTTCCCCGCAGGGCTCTCCCTACGACCATACTCCAGGCATGGCCGGCTCCTTGGGGTACCACCCTTACGCGGCGCCCCTGGGCTCTTACCCTTATGGGGACCCCGCGTACCGCAAGAACGCCACGCGGGACGCCACGGCCACGCTCAAGGCCTGGCTCAACGAGCACCGCAAGAACCCCTACCCCACCAAGGGCGAGAAGATCATGCTGGCCATCATCACCAAGATGACCCTCACCCAGGTGTCCACCTGGTTCGCCAACGCGCGCCGGCGCCTCAAGAAGGAGAACAAGATGACGTGGACCCCGAGGAACCGCAGCGAGGACGAGGAGGAGGAGGAGAACATTGACCTGGAGAAAAACGACGAGGACGAGGCGCAGAAGCCCGAGGACAAGGTGGACCCCGAGGGGCCCGAAGCAGGTTGGTGGGCGCGCCGAGGAGGTTGCGCGGGAAGCAGGCGCGGGCCGAGGCCCGGCGGGAGGGGGTGCTGCGCGGGGCCTGGCGCGCGGGGGCCGGCCAGGTCTCTGCGCCCCGCGGGCGGGTGCTGCGCCCCGCCGGGCCCGCGCGGCCTCCGCGCCCCTGACCGCCCGCTTTTCGTCCGCAGGAGCCGCGGAGCAGAAGGCCGCCCCGGGCTGCGAGCGCCTGCAGGGGCCGCCCACCCCCGCCGGCAAGGAGGCCGAGGGCAGCCTCAGCGACTCGGATTTTAAGGAGCCGCCGTCCGAGGGCCGCCCCGACGCCCTGCCGGCTCCCCCGCGCGCCGCCGGGCTCTCCCCGGCCGGGCCGGCGGCCGCGCGGCTGGCGGAGGACCCGGCCCCGCACTACGCGTCGGCGCGCCGGCCCCGGGCCGCACCCGGCCGCGGGGGAGCTGCCCCCCGGCCCCGGAGCGCCCTCGGTCATCCACTCGCCGCCCGCGCCGGCGGCCGCGCTCGCCAAGCCCAAACTGTGGTCCCTGGCGGAGATCGCCACCTCCTCGGACAAGGTCAAGGACGGGGGCGGCGGGAGCGAGGGCTCGCCGTGCCCGCCCTGCCCCGGCCCGGTGGCCGGGCAGGCCCTGGGAGGCAGCCGCACCTCGCCGGCCCCGGCGCCCGCCCGCTCGCCCTCGGCGCAGTGCGCCTTCCCGGGCGGCACGGTGCTGTCCCGGCCGCTCTACTACACGGCGCCCTTCTACCCAGGCTACACGAACTATGGCTCCTTCGGACACCTCCACGGCCACCCCGCGCCCGGGCCGGGCCCCACGGCCGGGCCGGGCTCGCATTTCAATGGATTAAACCAGACCGTGTTGAACCGAGCGGACCCTTTGGCTAAAGACCCGAAAATGCTGCGGAGCCAGTCCCAGCTAGACCCGAGCAAAGACTCACCCTATGACTTGAAGAAAGGTATGTCCGACATTTAACGCGGGCTGCGTGGGTCCTGGACTCCCTAATTTATTTAAACACATGGCCTTGGCAGTTATTTTTCCATCGAGAAAGAGAGAGAGAGAGAAAAAAAAACTACCCCTCCTATTAAAAAGTTTATAGCTCGTGGAGATGGATGACATAAAAATGTAAACATCTCCCACACACACACACACACACACACACACACACAGACACAGACATGTCTTAACCAACTGAAAAGAAAAATTTAAAAAAAAAAAGGATTTGTATGAAATCTTATTCTGTATATTTAATGTAGCATTTTTGTATTTAAATTGATAATTCAATATCTTTGAAGTAAATTATGAAAAGAAGACACCTGTACAGGCATTTAATGTTTCTTTTTTGTAATATAAATATATACATTTGTGTCCCCCACCCCCCCAAAAAAAGTGTTTCATAGTTTAAAAATACAAGTTTAATTTAATTTTTTACACCTCTTGATTTTTTTTTTTTCTGGGTATGAGCTAAAGTCTTATTACAGAAAGGAAACAGGTTATACTCTTAGATTTAAAAAAAAAATAAACGAAACTGCAGCCGCCTTTGTAAAATGCAAAATATTTAATTAAAAGAGATTTTAACATAATCAGAGCCACTCATGACTTTTTTAGCAGCCTCAATAAACTGTCCATCGCCTGAGACAGAAGGTGCAAACTGCAACTGCTTTCCGAAGTGGGGAATGAAAGGTCGTTGAGAACCTCTGTGTGCCAGGGGGGAACCATAATTAGGCTGCCAGCCCCCCGGGGAACCTGGCTGTGCCCAGAATGCAGATTGGAACCCTCAGTGCCCGCTGCCTGGGCAGGATGGGACCCTGCAGGAAAGAAGAGCGAGACCCAAATGGGTGCAAATGGGTGCCCAGGGGTAGGAAGGGTGGCCGAGCCAGCTCCAGACGCCAACCACCCTAGCGCCATCGCTTAACCTAATTACTTCCAATCAGTGTCGTGTTTTATGCAAAGCAATCAGCTGGTGAACTTTGCTAATGAGTTCGATTTTATGCCGGATTTAGCCCTTATTACTATTTCAAAGGTGCTGTGGGCTAATGCAGGGCGGGCAGCTTTGGGGATGCCAAGGAGAAGGCTCTCCCAAGGCTCTGCCTTCTCTACCCCTTCAAAATTGGGCATTGATCTCTTCGTGGGATTTGATTAAATTAGTAAATGTTCCATCCGCCACCGTGCGGGAGGGAGGCTCGGGCAGGTCCGCGGGGCCCGGGGTGCCCAGAGAGGACCGTTCCCCGGCTCGCAGGTAGGTGTCACACTTGTCCTGGGTTTCCAGCCTGCAGCTGGCAGAGTCGGGGGCTGGAGGGGGGTGGCATTGGGGGAGGCAGCGCCTCAGGCGTTGGGGGTAAGCCGTGGGGGGCACCCGGGCCCGGCTCGAAGAGCCTCCCTCGACCCCAAACCCCGGGAGGTGGGGGCGCCTTTTGGGGGGGCGAGAGAGGCCTTCACCATTTCGAGGCCATTTGGTGATTCCAAGGTGGACCGAAGCAGGCGCGCGGCTTTCACCCTGTTCCCTTCTCGCACTCAGAGTCGGGGTCCCTCTAAAAGTCCTTTGGGGGGTTGCCTTCTCGTTTGAGCCCCGCAGATTTTATCGCGGCATGAAAAGTCAGGGTGCGTCTGAGTCCCCAGCGAGGGCGCGCCCTGGCCCTGCGCCCCCGGCCCGCCGGCGCGCGCGCGAGGGGCCCGCGGCTCCATTTTGAGCAGATGTGGGGCCGCCGCTGCGTTTTGCTTCGTGGGAAATTTTCGGTGGTCGGGGGAGGGGAGCGTCGGCAGCAAAAACACACTCGAGCGAGGGGAATTAATTTGCTCTATTAAACCCAAGCCCGAGTGTGGAGGGAATGTGTTTGCACATAACACCGCTTTAATTAGGCTAAATCAAAACGCACATATTTGCATTTCTGCTCCAGATGACAGTACCCCGACTTGGTTTTCCCCGCATCGCCCCCACCCAACCCACCCCCCCAACTGGCATAGGAGTTTTTACTTTTCCCATTTTTTTTGGAACCGGCCACGGAGCTCCTTTAGCCGATTCGAATTTAAACAAGTTTGAAAGCGGTATTGTCCAGATGTTCTCTCGAACAGCAGTCGGCTTCAGAGTTTAAATGAGTGAGAAAATTCACGCAGGGAAATGCTTTCCAAGCTGGAAGTGCGCGTGATTAAATATGCATGAGACGCCCGCATTTTATTTTGTCCCTTTAATTATAAATGATTTTTTTAAACAATTGAATTCCAGAGATGACTCGCCCTACCTCCCGCGCGCCCCGACCCCCCTCCACCCGCCCCCACCCCCACAGCCCGGCTCACAATCAGCTCCCCCCTCCGCAGCCAGCCCCGGGGGTCCCCATCTCTCCCACAAAAGTCTGAAGAAGAATAGGCCAGTCCCCTTCTCTGAAGAGGGAGTTTAAGAACGACATCAACTCTGCGGGGTTTGGGGAAGCGCTGGTCCTAAAACCTGCCCCACGATTTTAAAAAGAAAATTACAGGCCTCCTTGTGCGCCCGGGAATATGCTAATGGCCCGGCGCGGGCCTCCGCGGGGTGCCCGCCGAGCTCGGGGCCCGGAGCCGCACGCCCGGGGGCTGCTGGAACGGGCACTGCTGGAACGGGCACTGCGCGCCGACGAGCCGCGGTGGCTGCCCAGCTGCAGGCTGCTCCCAGGCTGGGGAGAACCAGCGCCGGGCCGGGGGGCTGGTGCGGAAGGGGCTGCCCCGTCCGCCTTCCCCTCGCCCCGGGCCCCTGCAGGCTTTCTTTGCGCACTTCGCCTTTCGTGCAAGCCCTCAATTAAGTTTGGGGTTTTCTTCTTTGCAGAGTTGGGTTTCGGTGACTAGTGGTTTATGGGTATCCGCAGCCTTTCCAGCTTGGCGAGCGCCTGCCGGACTGATCGGGGTTCGGGGATTTAGGAACTGTCTCCCGCGTTCGGTCCCAGAAGTAGTTGCGCGTCTGTCCAAGCCCCTTCTGGAGCCTCGGCTTGGCCGCATCTTGGGCCATCGCGGAGGTGACGCGTCTTGGAGGCGCTGGGGGCAGCTGTCCGGAGTGAGTTTTAGGGTCCAGGCTTGTTTGCAGGCTTGCACTGGGGCGCAAGACGGCTCGCTGCTCGGGCTGCGCGGGGGGTTCCCCCTGCGCTTGGCTGCTGTGCTGGTTCCGGCACCCAAAGAGCGCCCAGTTTGGCATTTAGGGACTAAGAGGCGCTGAACCCCTGGGAACAGAGGTGGCCAGATCCTCGAACGGGGTCTGTGTAGACAGGACCCGAGGCAACGCCAAACCCGGGACGGAGCAGAGTCTGTTTCCCGAGGGCGCACACGTAGGCATTGGAGAGAGCGCGCTGAAGGGGTCTGTCTCCTTCCCGCGCCTCGTGCCAGCGCCCTAAATGTTCTCTGGCCTGGCTGTGGGGCCTGCTTCGAGGCCTCCTGGCTGGCAAGTCCCCGGGGTCCTCTCATTCCGGAGGCAGCGCGCAGCTCTCGGAGCCTGCAAGCCGGGGGTGGGGTCGTGCGCGCGGGCTCGGCCAGAGCCGTGTCTCCGGGCCCTGCGGTCCCAGCACTACCTGCCACCCCGGCCAGAGGCTCCGGGCAGCGCCCCGCGAATTGCCCGAAGCGGAAGGAATGTGCTCGCGCTCCCCAGAGCCAGCCGGACGCGGCCGTGGTTTAGGAAGGACGCCGCCTACTGGTTCGGGGAGCCACGCGGTGCGCCAAGAGGAGGAGTTAGGCTAGACCCGGTGGTGCCCCCAACCACAGCCGGGACTTAACTCTGAACCCCAAGTTGGCCAAACTTAAAGTGGCTACACCACCGCCCTCGCTGCGGCCCGGGACCCACCACCCGCTTAGCCTGGGGGATTTGGAGCGCAGGGCCCGCCACGAGGACAGTTTTAATCCTACGATTCCGGCCACCGCTTAGGCGCAGCCCCCAAAACCAGGCGGCAGGCGCTGGAGAAATCAGCCGGCGGCTGCAGCAGCATCAGGTGCGGGGCAGCCCGCGCAGCCCGGGTGGTGAGCCGCTGCGCCCTCTCCGCCCGAGGTGCAGGCTCTTGGGTTTCTGCCGGGTTTTGCGCCAGGCTCCGGACCCCTCGCGGTTCTGGGTAATTGGAGGTTTGGCATATCCGGGGTCTACCCCACAACCGCGCCCCCAAAGTCCGTTTTTGTCTTTTGCCCTGTCGGTTGGATATCTAGAGAAAAGGAAAAACAAAAACAGAGCTTCCCTCCAGGGCCGCCAACCCTCCTATTTCGAAAGCACCTTGGCTGAGGTCGGGACCGCAAAGCAGGAGGGGCGCACCTCGACGCCCCCTTCTCCCCGCTAGAAACGCTCACCGGTAACATCAACTGGTCTTCCCTGGGGCAGGGATATTGGAGAAAATCCCGGGCGCACCCTCGCCTGGCTCTTCGCGCCCCTGGTCCCCGACGGGGAGGAATGATCGGGTCCGCCTGGACCGTGCCGCGCGCCCTGCTCCCAACCCGTCCTAAGGCGCGCCACTGCCTGCAGGCCCAGCCCGCGGGTCTCTCTTTGCCACCCGGCCGGAGCTCGCCTACTTTTCGTTTCTTGCTCAAAGTGACATGGGTCCCCAGCTCGAGGCGGGGCCCGGGTTGTGGCCTAACAGAAGAGCGCCTCAGGCGCCGAGGAGCAGGTCTAGCTGCGCCCCCCTACACTGACTGGCCCCTCCGGGGTTTGGGGGAAGGCTCTGGCCTCCAATGTACGAAAGCCCCAGCCCTGGGTCCCCAAGGCCGCCTGCCCGGCCGTGCTCGTTTCTGGCGCCGGACGAGCTCGCGCCCAGACGCCACTTTTCCCAGTGAAATCTGCTTTTATTTGCTCCGAGCAAACCCGGGCTCTTAACGCTCCCGCCTGATGGATGCAAATGTAAATGTGCACTTATTTAATTGGATCAGGCCCCAAGATAAAAGAGATAAACGGCTCCCCGTTTGCTAACTTATTTTCCGAGGCATGCCGCGCCGCGTGGAGGGGAAGCTAATGAAGGAGCTGCGCCCTGCTGGGCTCTCGAGCTCCGCGAGGCCTTAGCGCGTTGCTGGTCGGCTCCGGGCAGGCCTTTGGCTCCTCAGCCACCTCTTTCCACGCGCCCCGCTGCCTGGCTTGGGTGCCCCGGGGATCTTTGTGCACCAGGACCCGCGCCCCGCTGCCTGGCTTGGGTGCCCCGGGGATCTTTGTGCACCAGGACCCGACAAGGCGCCGTGGAGGTTTTGCGCTTGCAAATGTCCGCCCTAAGCATCACTTTTCTCAGGTCTGTCCCCCAGGTTTTCCTCAGCAGCCTCCCACGCTGGAGTCCTTTCTAGCTCTGATCCCCAGGCGTCCACTTTCACCCCAGGTGGCCATTCAGAAAGGCCCGAGAACCCTGGAAAAGACTACACGTGTCCCTAAACCCCCAGCCACCCCAAGACCCCGGGCACCCTGCTTTCTTCCACGGAAGGACCCGTATCACCCTCATTCCCATATTACCCTCCTTTGGAACCTGGGGTTTCTTTCAGAATCAGCGGGGAGCCACGGACCACCTTCCCTGAGCAGCGCTGCACCCACGCAGCGCACGCGGCCCTGCAGTCATTTCAAGGGGCTGCAGATCCCCCAGACATCCAGGCATGAGGAGAAAGGACTGTCTGGTTCTGCTCTCCCGGGGGCCAGAGTTCACAACTTCAGCTCCAGCGGGACCTCCTCGTCCACCCTCGACAGGACCACCCCCCAATTTGGGGTCTCGATTTCCCCCCGCAAAGTTTCTCTCCTGTTGAGCAGGGCTGGGGAGGAGGTCGGGTGGGTGAGGACAAGAGGTCGACGCTGGCGCCGAGGGAGGGTGGGGTGTTGAGGGGTGCCCTGGCTGGAGACAGGGGCCCAGTAGCCCGGGAGGCTGCGCCGCTGGCCAGGGCCGGCCGGGCTGCGCGGGGTGCGGCGGGCTGGGCAGGCGTCCGGCCGCGCCCCGGCCCGACGCGCTGATGGATTGGCTTGTCAGGAGAGCTCTGTGCGCGGAGCCCATCAGAAAGCACTTACCTCGCTAAACTGAAATTACTGTCTTTTCAGGGGCTAATTTGTGTAACTCCCATGGAGGGGCTTGGAGGGGGTTTGATGAGGCATAAAATGATGATTAATGAATTTATT